ATGGATTGCTTAAGTTTAGAGTTTGGAGTTAGAGATATTAATATTTGTTTACTTGTAGTTGAATGTTAGCCTAGGTTTGGTTTGGGAAGTCCGGGGGGTGGGGGGATGGGATAAATCATTGTGTAATACTTGTGATGTATTTCTTCTTTTATGATAAAAACAATAAAATTCTATATTGAAAAAAAAAAAAAAAAAAAAAAAAGAATGGGTCGTGGATAGGTATTCCAGCATGGCAATGACCCAAAATACACGACCAAGGGAATAAAGGAGTGGCTCAAGAAGAAGCACATTAAGATCCTTGAGTGGCCTAGCCAGTCTCCAGACCTTAATCCCATAGAGCAGTGGTTCTCAACCTGTGGGTCGGGACCCCATTTGGGGTCGATCGACCATTTCACGGGGGTCGCCAAGCAAGGCTGTCCACCATTTTTTTTGTCCGCCATTTTTTCCCCCTTTTCCAGTGGGTGCCTTACCTCCCTTGGGCTGGGCCAGCGGGTGGTCGGCCTGCTCCGTCTCTGCCGCTTGCCAGCTACATCTCGGCCAGCGCAGGGGGCGGAACCACACATGTGCGGCGCTCCTGGGCAGGGAAAGTCCTCGACTTACAACCGGTTGGGTAGTCCTCGACTTACGACCGGTTTAGTCCTCGACTTACAACCGGTTGGGGTCACGGCATTAAAAAGGTTGAAAACCACTGCCATAGAGAATCTGTGGAGGGAGCTGAAGGTTCGAGCTGCCAAATGTCAGCCTCGAAACCTAATGACTTGGAGAGGATCTGCAAAGAGGAGTGGAACAAAATCCCTCCTGAGATGTGTGCAAACCTGGTGGCCAACTACAAGAAACATCTGACCTCTGTGATTGCCAACAAGGATTTTGACACCAAGTACTAAGTCATGTTTTGCGAAGGGGTCAAATACTTATTTCACTCATTAAAATGCAAATCAATTTATAACTTTTCTGAAATGCGTTTTTCTGGATTTTTGTTGTTGTTATTCTGTCTCTCACTGTTAAAATAAACCTACCATTAAAATTATAGGCTGATCATTTCTTTGTCAGTGGGCAAATGTACAAAATCAGCAGGGGATCAAATAGTTTTTCCCTCACTGTATGTATGTAACAAATCTGTTTTTTCAAGTTCTAATATAAGAAGCTATTTGCCTAGCTCACAGGTCGGCAACCTGCGGCTCCAGAGCTGCATGTGGCTCTTTGAGCCTTCCCCTGTGGCTCCCAGCCTCCTCTGCCATTTGCAGAGAGAGACAGAGACAGAGAGAGGCACTTGCGCTTCCTTTCTCTCTCTCTCTGTTTGTTTGTGTGTGTGTAAAAAAAAGAAAGTGGACTCACGGTGTTCTCCGATGAGCTGAAAAGCTTACTGGGTGGGGCTCCTGCCTTGGCTGCGTCTCTGCAGGAAGCAGGAAGCAGGAAGGGCAGGAGAGAGCTAGCCCAGCTATGCTGGCTTAGGAATTCTGGGGGTTGAAGTCCATGAGTCATAAAAGAGCCGAGGTTGCCTACCCCTGAGCTTGTTGGAGAACAGCTTGAAGCCAGCTTGCCAGGTGAGCAGAAGATTGGAGAGAGGGAGAGAGGAGGGGGGGGAGAGGGAGAGAAAGAGAAAGAGAGAAAGAAAGAGGGAGGGAGAGAACACTGATAACACTGCATATATCCTTTTTTACCTTTATGATATATAGGAGGACATTTTTTACCTTTATGATATATAGGAGGAGACAACAGAAACGTCCAGGAAAAGAATACCCAGCAACTAAAAAACCTCCCGACTACAAGAGCAGGTATGCACTGGCAATGGACAAGGAAACCTATTGACATCAAAGGCCCAACTCACAATGAACCAGACGCCCCCTTACACCATATGAAGCGCTTAGAAGGAACGACGCCTCACACATACACACAAACACAAGTTGACAAACACCCGAGGGATCCCCCCACCACCACCATCACCACCTTCACCCCCCCACCCGTCTCTACCCCAAAAGCACGTGGACACCCCCGGAGAATGGGTAGAACACGGAACTACAAACGGTCTCCGCGAGGAACAACACCCCCAAGCATGGGCAAAGGGGAGATATTCAGGGACTAGAAGATCCCCCCACCTTGGGGGTGCGTACACGCTCCCGGGGGTTAAGGAAGTTGATGGTTGGCAACGAGGAGACTACCAACGTACTGAGAACTCCTCTAAACCCCCCACGTGGGGAAAAAGGGGAGAACCAGCCTGAAGGGATGACGGAGCAGACATGCCCGGTAGCTTATCCCAAAGCAATGGTCCGGTTGAGGCGGCAGGGATTAGGAGCGGATCCCCATAACATCTTAGAAAGTATCGCCAACATAAATAAAAGAAAGGGAAAAGTAAAGGTGAGAGGAGACAACAGCTGTGGGATTGACAAACCTCCCGATGAGGGGGAGGGATTGGAGGATAGGAACCAAGGGGAGATGCTTAGAGCAAAGCCCCGTAGCAGGAAGAATGACAATGGGAATGCAAATGACGGACAGAGAGGGGGAGAGGATGGAAGAAAGGGTATTACTAGGGAGGAATGTGAGAAGAGGAAACAACTTAAAGAGGCAGAGTTCACAGGCGAGCAAAGAAGGAAAGCAAAGAATCCCTCTGAGTCACGATTACACGAGGAGGGAAGGGGCAATAATGCACACATATGTAAGAAAAGTAGAGAGAGTGCAGGCAATGACACACAAACTACGACCAAAGTGCAGATTGGCCAGTCAGGACCCGTGACGCGATCTAGGAGCCGGGTGCAGACAGTGTCTCACCTATAAAAGAACTTTCCCATCGACTTGAATGTACCCTGACAATGTTGGCAGTGGCCAATGAAAGCTTGGTGTTTTATTGGATTAAAAACAAAGAATTAAGGGAGTACTGAGATAGCTATTTCTAACCTTGTTTGGTTTTCATATATATATATATTAGGGGGGCTAATGCTTCTGCTTAACATGCAGACAGCCCAGGTTCGAATCTCGGAAGGGTATGTCTGACTGATGAAAACCAAATAAGGTTAGAAATAGCTATCTCAGTACTCCCTTAATTCTTTGTTAGCAATCCAAATTTTGAAAAACACATATGATGTCGCAGTTAAGCGACTGCTGCCTGTGGATGGCTCTGGATTGAGC